TGAGTGTGTGTGTGTGAGAGAGAGAGAGAGAGAGTGTGTGTGTGTGTGTGCGTGTGAGAGAGTGTGTGTGTGTGTGTGTGTGAGAGTGTTTGTGCGTGTGTGAGAGTGTTTGTGCGTGTGTGTGAGAGTGTGTGTGTGAGAGAGTGTTTGTGTGTGTGTGAGAGTGTGTGTGTGTGTGTGTGAGAGAGAGAGTGTGTGTGTGTCACCTGCTCCTCCTGTCTCATCCGGTCGATCAGCTCCATGATGGAGGTGAAATGGAGGCATCGCTCCGAATGTCCCACGCTGTGAGTGTGGAGCGGCCCATTCTGCCAGTCTCTCCACTCCCATAGAGACAGCTCTCGGACGGGCCCCGACACACACGGACCCTACACACACACACACACACACACACACACACACACACACACACGAATTAATGCATGACTAACAAATATGCATCACATTATGTTCATTAGTTTATAATAAAACGGTGCAATCCAAATGCATGGAAATTTTATGAGCAATTCAGATACATAAATCTTAAACGCAGGCCTAAATATTAGTGTTGATCTCCGCTGAGCACAAGTTTATAGTGAGGTCTGGATTGTTCTCGTCTGTATTGACCTGCTCCGACGGCTCGTCACTGAAGGTCAGCAGCGTCGACGGTCTGAAGACCGGCTGAGGTTCATCTGAAGACAGTCTCATGCTGGACATCCACTCGGCCTCTTCAGCTGCGGTCAGAAACCCGTCGTCCTTCACACACTTCTGCTCTCCTCCTGCAGAACACAAGAGCACCGCTGATCTACAGACACACACACTTCACTGAAACACTGCTGCTCACACAATCACGAGAGCATCTGGGCTTTACAATCACGACAATCACTCTTACACACACACACACACATACACACACACACACACACACACACACACACGAATTAATGCATGACTAACAAATATGCATCACATTATGTTCATTAGTTTATAATAAAACGGTGCAATCCAAATGCATGGAAATTTTATGAGCAATTCAGATACATAAATCTTAAACGCAGGCCTAAATATTAGTGTTGATCTCCGCTGAGCACAAGTTTATAGTGAGGTCTGGATTGTTCTCGTCTGTATTGACCTGCTCCGACGGCTCGTCACTGAAGGTCAGCAGCGTCGACGGTCTGAAGACCGGCTGAGGTTCATCTGAAGACAGTCTCATGCTGGACATCCACTCGGCCTCTTCAGCTGCGGTCAGAAACCCGTCGTCCTTCACACACTTCTGCTCTCCTCCTGCAGAACACAAGAGCACCGCTGATCTACAGACACACACACTTCACTGAAACACTGCTGCTCACACAATCACGAGAGCATCTGGGCTTTACAATCACGACAATCACTCTTTACAGTAAGGTCTCATTTGTTAAAGGTACAGTTCACCCTAAAATGAAAATCTTGTCATCTTTAACTCTCCCTCATGTTGTTCCAAAGCTGTACGAGTTTCATTCTTCTGTTGAACACAAAAGACGACATTCTGGAGAATGTTTGGAACGAAACAGTTGACGGTACCCATTGACTTCCATAGTATTTTTTTTAAGTATTATTTTTTCGCTTCAGAAGCTCCACACAAAATATAAATACAAAGCTAAAATGTTTAAGATAAGACGGGTATAATATTAGTATATCATACATCCAGGGCATTGTTCTTACTCTGGAAAAATGACTTTTTCTTTCTTCAAGCATAAACTGAGCAATGGTCTGTGAGGTTTATAATTAAAGTAGTGATGTCAGGTCAGTACCGTTGATCTGCAGAGCGAGCGACGAGCGGCGGCCCTTCACCGGTCTGTGCTCGAACCGGCCGCAGCTGATGTGCATCTTGTGCAGCGTCGGCGTGACCCCCGCGGGCAGCATGCGCGGACTGTGAGCAAACATCTGGAAACTGTGCTTGTTTCCCATGATGCTCTTGTTGATGCTGCGCCGGTTGCTCTGGCTCTGGTTATACGTCTAGACAGACACACACACAGACAGACAGACACACAGACACACACAGAGACAGAGAGACAGAGACACACACACAGACACACACACACAGACACACACACGCTCTCTGAGCATCTAAACGATCACCTCCTGTTCTCACAGGTCTGATGTGAACATGCGCTCATATACCTCCAGCTGTTCTTTCTGCGTGAATCCTCGAACCCCTTTCCCGGCCGACGCTTGACCCATGAAGGTCATGACCCTCACCAGCCGCTGATGACGGCTCAACATCTCCGCGATCTCCTGCACGCTCTCGCGGAAGGACGAGAAGATCATCACGCGTGTGCTCTCCGCAGCGGACGCCTTCGCATCTGGACCAATCACAGCAGAGCTCAGTCACAATCAGACCAGTCAGACTCAAACCAGCCGCAGCAAGAGACACAAACACTCTACAGAACAACACTGACAGGACACACCACTGTAAAATAAGCCTTTTAGGAATCATCCATATTACTGTTATTTTAATATCAATGAGACTACTGAATTTGTTTATATTTTCATATTCATTTTAAAAAGTTTGTCAGTATTTTTTTTTTTTTTAATTCTACATATTTTTATATATGTAGTTTAGTTGTGCTTTTGTGATTTATTTAATTTTTGAAAAATATTTTTTTCAATTTTTGTAATTTTGTTGTAATTTTTTATTACTATTCTATTTCTAAATGTCTCTATATTTGACATGTTTTATAATAATTTTTAAATATATATATTTTTTGTCATTTATGTTTTCAGTTTTTGACCAAATGAAACCAAATGAGAAATGTTGCCTCATAACATAAGTTTAATGTTTTATATATTTTATTTCAGATAACGTTTATTTCAAGTAACAATTTTTAATGGTTGATGACCATTATTAATTTTAAATTTAGTGCTGTTAAACGATTAATCACGATTAATCGCATCCAAAATAAAAGTTTTTGTTTACATAATGTGTACTGCGTATAGTAGTTATGTATATATAAATACAAACACATACAGTATATATTTGGAAAATATTTACATGTATATATCTATATTCATATAATTTATATATGTGAAAATATTTAATATATAAACATAACACATTTTTCTTAAACATATACATACATGTGTGTGTATTTATATATACATTATTAAATTACAATTATAATTATTACATTATTATAATAACCAAAATTACTTACAGTTATGATAATCACTATAATAACCCATTTCAAATAATCAAATCCTCTTCAGTACTTGTACCTGAGCTCTCGGCCCACGTCTCAAAGTGCCGCAGCACAACCTCGTCCAGCTTCTGTAGTTTGGGGTGACTGTAGACATACGGCTCTCTAGGCTCTACAGACCAAACACATCAGACATACAGCCATCGTTTACTCCCCTGCGTGGATGCTGGGCTTTATCACTAAACCAGACTATGATGATAGGTTTATAGGTACTTGAACAGCCCATGATCACTGACCGCTGTCACTAGCTATGTTTCCATCCAAAGATGCTAATTTAACTTACTGTATGTGCAAAACTGGAATATCTGCGAATAAAGCACCGTTTCCATCCAACGAGTCAAAGAGAACAAATCCGTCACTTCCTGATAAACTGGCACTAAATATCACTAAGAAAAGTAGGAGCAGCCACTGAATATAATAATTTGCGCCTCAGAGCGAGCAGACGAAACACAATAAATGCTGTCACTGCTTTCAGAGGCGGATGCTGCTGTTTGGGAACGCAGTCGTTTAAGACGATTATACAGAAATACTTTGACGACAGACTTTACTCAGGCTTTTCAGAACAACATTTCAGATGCTGTGACCGAGATCGGTCCGCTGCTAGTCGAGTTATCCCGTCACATGACTTTTTAGATGCGCACGGAGGAATTTACTCTGTGTTTTCATCGTAGTTTATACACATTTTTTCTTATCGGATAAAAAGTTTATCATACTTGCGTTCATTTTTAGAATTTATGCACATCTTGGCATCTCCATCCAGCGGTTTTTTAAAATTGCGATATTCCAAAATGCGCATAAAAATATAAACATAGCTACTTGTGTGTTAAAGAGCAGCAGGAACATTCTGCAGAACATCTGCTTTCGCTGAAGAGCGAAAGTCATACAGGTTTGTAAGAACACGTGGGAGAGTAAATGACAATGTGTATTTCTGAAAGATCGATCTCTTAACGACCTCGGCTCGCTGTGGCGAACATGCTCTCCATTTCCCTGTAGAGATCCATGAAGACCGGACTCCTCTGGAGCTCGTTCCTCACACGAGTCGACTCTGAGAAAACAACAAACACTGGTGATGTGACGAGCAGGGGAGCATCAGCCGACACGAGCGTGAGTATCTGAGCACCTTTGGGTCCAGAGAAGATGTTCTGAATGAAGAGGAAGAGAGATCTGACACCCATCTGCTGCAGTAACTCATAGCCGTGATACAGACTGATGCAGATGGAGAAATCTCCCTCGATGACGCCCTGCTGCGGCCCCTGCTGAGAGACAGAGGTGGACAGTAAAGAACTACATTTACTTGAGTACTGTATTAAAGTATACTTTTTGAGGATCTGTACTTTACTTGAGTATTATTATTATTATTTTTTTTTTTTCAGGGGAGCATCAGCCGACACGAGCGTGAGTATCTGAGCACCTTTGGGTCCAGAGAAGATGTTCTGAATGAAGAGGAAGAGAGATCTGACACCCATCTGCTGCAGTAACTCATAGCCGTGATACAGACTGATGCAGATGGAGAAATCTCCCTCGATCACGCCCTGCTGCGGCCCCTGCTGAGAGACAGAGGTGGACAGTAAAGAACTACATTTACTTGAGTACTGTATTAAAGTATACTTTTTGAGGATCTGTACTTTACTTGAGTATTATTATTATTACCCTCGATCACGCCCTGCTGCGGCCCCTGCTGAGAGACAGAGGTGGACAGTAAAGAACTACATTTACTTGAGTACTGTATTAAAGTATACTTTTTGAGGATCTGTACTTTACTTGGGTATTATTATTATTATTTTTTTT